GGGGGGGAGCCCTGAGTGACAGCGGCGAGGACCAATCGCGCGAGAGCCAGTGACAGGTGTCGTTCAGCCCTCGGCCAGTAGGAGCGCAGGAGGGGGCGGGACCTCGGGGGGGGGTTGGCGTGACGTCGCAGCCTCGGTTCCATCGAGTGACAGAAGGTGAAGAAGAAGAAGAAGAAGAAGAAGAAGAAGAAGAAGAAGACAAGTTTCCGGCTTCTTCTCTGAAACCAGGTAACGACGGAGGAGTCGCATCCTCGAGCCCCGGACAGACGCCCAGCGCTGTCGTCGTCTCACCCGAGGATCGGTGTCGTGTTCGCGGGTAAAGTCGCTCCGCGGGTCGGTCTCTGTCGCAGCTGAGAGGAAACACAACCACAGAAGTTTGTTCCGCTCGACGAGGAAGCAACGATGAGCAACCGGGAGGACGAGTACGATTACCTGTTCAAAGGTGAGTCCGTCTGCCCGCTTCCTCTCCCCGCGGACTCGAGGCACCTGTTGGCGGGGGAGGGTCGGGGCGTCAGGGGGCCGGGGGACGGTGATCGAGAGCCGCGCTAACTTTGTTGTGTGACGAGGGTGGAAGTTGGGAAATGGCGTCACGAGCGAAACAGAAGCTGCAGGGTCCTCTCTGTGTGTGTGTGTGTGTGTGTGTGTGTGTGTGTGTGTGTGTGTGTGTGTGCAGGCCGATGATGCAACCACCCTGAGGTGCTGGGTCATCACAGGGGTCATCAACTGAGACCCACAGGTGAAACACCTGACACACGGATGATCAGGCCGGAGGGGAGCTGGGCTCAAATCACCTGTCATCACATTCTCACCCAACATTCAGTTCTGCATTTATTCTTTCAGTGTAAAATAAAAAAATGCTCCAATGATGAAAACTATCTTTACTGACAGACTCCATGAATAAGCAGTAACTACCAGAGGTGAGCATGCAGGTGTGGAAAAGATTCAGTGTTAATCTTAATTCTTGCTTCTCGTTGTGTCCTATGATTAAAACAGGTGTTTGTGCCTCTGGTCGAACTAAACAGTCATTTGAGGACACCACTTTAGTTTTTTTGTGTTTTCATCGTACAAACAAATGATCATTTGGTAAATCAAATGAAAAGAACTATCATTATATTGATAATGATATTAGAAATGCACACACAGATTTTGGCGTTCGGACAATAGTTTAACAATAGTTTCTAACACTTGCTCCAACATTTACACCAACTTTTCCTCCGTGTAAGCTCCAACAGGTGACATCAAACTATCAGGAAATAATGTTCAGCAGCTGTTTTGATGGTAGATTAATGGTTTTAATATTTTCCCCAGCAACTTAGTGGAAAGAATAAAAAAAACAATTCTCTATTTCCAGCCTCTTCAATGAGTCACTTTTTTTATGTCTCATTGTGAAGAATAATCCTCAAAACTATCTTTATTGGCGGCTCTGTAAATCAGCACCATGTTGTATGGATATTAAAGAGCTCGCCTGGTGACCAGAAAATGTCAGGCAGGCTTCACAAGTGTGTCCACAACAAAGTGTCCCCTAGCAAAGAATAGTGAATTATCCAGTTTGGCAAACTGGCAGAAACGGCTCTTGGTAGTTTTACCTTTTCACAAGAAAGGGGAAATGATGTACTCAAGGTCTGTACAAATATAGAACACTAAACAAGTGTGTGTTGTCAAACTGGAAATACCTGCATGAAAAGTGTGTGTGTGGCCACAGTGAAGCTCCGTCTCAGACGATAGAGAAGAAGAGATTTGCTCACTCACTCGCTGAACCGTGGATAAAGTGACACGGTGACCAAATAGCAAATTTATCTGAATAATGTGCTGCGGTGCAAGGACACCGATAAGGTGTCGGCCGCCGCTCAAGGAAAGAGCTCACGTTATTGTTTCGGCTCTCCATTGTTCCCACAGCCTCCATTTTTACCCTTGCTCTCGGACAACTTGATTCAAGTTGGGTGAGCTCCCAGTGAGTCACGCAAACTTTTACCTACTGATGGAGACACGAGCACAGGAAGCTACGCTGCCGTCCTCCGTCCCCGTGCAGCTCAAGTTAGCGAACCCTTAATGCCTTAAGAATATTTAAAAATGTCAGACTAACTTTACTCCCGTGTCATCCCTTTCTTAATAGCCACCAAATTGAGTTAGTTATTTTAAAGCCAACTTAGTGGTCACGGCTCTATAACGTCTCGCACATTCTCCTGCTGTAATTGAAGGTATTTCTTTTTTACTTCGTTTTCTTTTCACAGGGATGAAAACGAGCAGAGGCTTTAATTTCACTCCCTTCATTGAGGGAGTCGAAGGCTTGGCCTTGTTACTGGGAGCAGTGTTGTATAATATCATAGGGAGGCGTCATATCTTTTTTAGCTGAAGAATGTCAACCCAACAAAAGGGTGAGTGGATGGGTGTGTAGTGCAGCCCTGATATTACCTGTCTGATGGCAAAGGACCTAGAAATGGTTGCCTAATGATTTTCCTCCTCCACCCAAAGATCCTTTGTGTCAGACAAAATGGAGAATGACGACGTTGCCTTTTTTTTGGTGTGTGTAAAAGAGCAACACATTTACTGCTCACAGGCTTCCCCATATTTTGATTAATTCAAAGTCCTAAAAAAGAGTCAGCTCTTCAAGTTGACAGGTTTCTACTTGTGTGTGTTGCTCCACAGCAACACGGATGAGCTTTTGATCCACAGTTTCCTCACAGAAAGAGTGGCATTGCTTAAATGCATGTGTGGACACAGTGGGTAGGTTTGTTAATGCAATTTCAACATTCCATGATAAGTTCCTGTTTCCAAACGGCAGGCTGGTGTGTCAGTGGGGGCAGGTTCCCTCTGACACACTGACTCACCTGACAATTATAGAAGTAGCTTTCTGACGAACAGTCGTTCTAATAATGCCCCGGTCGGGTACATGTTGGGAGGAGACGCCACGTTAGAGCCTTTGTTTTTATTTTCATGATTATACACTCTGTATTAAAGGAATAATAATTGACATTCTACATACTGGGTTGTATTTGTTTTTATATGAAACACATCGCTGTTACTTTCCAAATCGCTGACGTTGTTCGTTCGTTCGGGATGTCCACATTTTCTTTTTATCTGGTGAGAGTGTTTTACTATATAAGCGTTTGATGATAACGTCTTTCTTTACATTATGGCAAATATATTGATATCAGCCCCCAAACCTTCGCAGCCGTCAGGCTCTAATCAGAAGTGTAGTCATTTAACCTCTCTCACCTCCGCGTCAATAATCACCAGAGACGGATTCAGATGTTTTCTCTGGGAATGTAGAATCTGTTAACTGAAGCAGTATGGAGGAGGGTTTTTATGTAACCTCGGCGCTGCATGAGGGCTCAGTTTAAGGAGTTAATGTTTATATACAGCTTTTAAAACAGTGGGACACTTGCACCTATTGATTTGTACGCACACATGTCTTGTAATCTATCAGTGTCCCAGCTCTCTCTCTCTCTCTACAGGTTTCTTTAGTCTGCAGCAACCCACAGGTTTCACCTGGACTCACGTGTTCAGTCTGCTTTTACTGCTTGAAGAGAGCAGGTGGTTCTAATATTTAGTGTTCCTCGCTCGCTGGGAGTCCCCGGAGTTTCTGCTCAGCTTTGGCCGGAAGCCACACATGAGCATTATTAGCGAGGCAGGTTATTTAATAGGCGATGAGAATCAAATGACTTTTAAAAAAAAAAAAAGGACAACCATGTCTTTGTGTTTTTAAACTATCACACCAAAGATCTGCTGTGAATTATCCTCTCCAGCTGCAGTCTGTGCACTGTGCTGCTCAAACCCACTCATCACATCATCATCTCTACGTGTGTTTTATTGTTTATGTACACGCTGAAAATGAGATTCTGT